ATACCCTACCGAAGTTCTCCAGATAAATGCAAACTTTCAACTGCCTGTCTGTCTTCCTTGCTGGCTCTTCGCCATGATAAGGAAGTAGCTGATTGGCTCACAGAGAAATACACAACAATTACAGTTTGCATTCATCTGCTGATGACTGAATTCTGCATTTCAGAAAATTGCTGAAGCTGTGACAAAACATATTTTGTATGTTAAGGAAGCTAAATTAGTTCTATAAAAATCAAAAATATATATCACAGATCACAGATCATTGTAATAATTTGTTAATTTGATAAGCTTGGTGTTTGTCAAGTTTTTTTAACACAAATCCTATTCTCTCCAACAAAGTTCTAATAAGCCCACCTGGAAGCATTTCCTAAACTTCTTCAGTTGTATTAATGTATGCATAAACTAAACCTTTCTGACAGCTTTATGTTTTCTGAAGATTTTCTAGACTTGAAAGTAGAAAAATGTTGCTTTTGGACCCATAACATTAATAAATGGTACTCAACGTCAGCGCTACGTTTTCTGAAGCCCGGTGCAATCATTGTGATTCTAAAATTTCGCTGCCCTTCAACTATGCTGCACCTGTTGCAGCATCACTGGCAGCCAGTGGCGTAGCGAGGGGGGGAAAGGGGGTGTATGATGCCCAGGGCGCCGCTCCCAGAGGGGCGCCAAATGGTCTCCAAACAAGATTTTACGGAAAATTTCAGTTTTTATTTTGATCAATTTCTGGAAAATATATTTAAAATTAATAATTTGTAATATATAATTATTATTTCTTGGTTTGTTGATAAAATGTGCAATAAAATGTTTGCAGTACATCAACAAAATATCTCCGCATACAAAACATTATTTCTGATCACTTTATTTCTCTAAAATAGAGATATTTTCTTTTTAATGAAATGCGCATATAGCTCCCGTTTTTTATTTTAAAACGATAACACCCTTGTCCCAAATTTCTCAAATATATCCAGTTTTCAAAACCGATTCCATAGTCTGGAAATGATATTTTGGAAAACTCCTAACACTTCCACTACAATGGATTTCGTTTAGATCTTTTTGTAAACGACTGATGGCCTTCCTGACTACCGATCAACTAGTCAGCTTGCTAAGACATCGCATATTCATCTACAAAGCATTCAACGATGTCAAGTGTTTTTCATCTCCTATTACAAGAATGCTGCGTCGCTCCTTACTCCTTACTAATACGCATAGTTTTCGACGTACAGATAAATTTCATATTTTGTAATGGTTATAATTTTCCTTTATAAACTCTTCTATTTCCTTTTGTTAAAACAGTTGTTGATTGTATGGTTATTTCATACCGAACTCACCATATCCCTAATTGTTTTGTGCAGAATATGTGACTGCAAAATATTACTCAGCAGGAGAAAAGAAACTGAACCTAAAAGCTCCATTACAAATCTTACTTTTGTAATATCGTATGGAGAAAATGTTTTTTCCAAACCGAAGAGTCGCACTTCAAATACTCCTTACTATGTCATTATCAAATGCTAATTATGAACTTTCGTTCAGCAAATTAAAATTAATTTTGACATATTTACGATCACTCATGCGGCAAGATCGCCTAAGTGATCTATCATTTTTAAATGTGGAAAGAGAAAAATTTGAAATGATCGACTTGATGAGTAATTATAAATTTCCTTCATCTAAGGCAGAAAATGTATACATAGTAATTAATTGTATTAATGTATTATGATATTATATAACCATTAAAATATATCTACTTATCTGTAATATATATTAAACTTTAATTGTTTAAAATTGTACTTTTCTAAAAACAGTTACTAATATGTAAATAATACAGTTAAAAGTCGTTAATTCGGACACCCATAATCCGGAATGATCTATAATCCGGACCTCAAAGCTAAAATCTTTCTGCGCATGCGCCGCATTGACGCATGCGCATAGGCGTTTACTCGTGCGCGCAAGACATTTACGACTGCGCATATGCGTCTGCGCAAGTGCAGATACGTTTTCGCGTGCGCGTTTATAATAACGGACGGTATAAGCTAAAATTATCTAATTATCTATTTCAGTTAATGTTGATGATTGCGTTGTTCCTTTAATCTTCGAATTGGATCCGGCTTATTATTTTTTGCAGACTGTTAAGAGCAATTTTAAAAGTAAGCTTGAACTTTCGATTATGTCAAATAGAATTTCCGATGCTGGAGCTTCCAAAGGATCTACAAAACGAAAGTATGTTTCGATGTCCATCAAACAAAAAACGAATTGCTACAAAAATGGATAATAAAGGCATATCCTTTGTTTATCTAACCGTTCCAAAATCTGTTTATCAATTTCACGCTGCTCTGCGCGGGGGGGGGGGACGTCGCGGCGCGCAATGAACTGGAAGTTGATTTGTCAACACTATCCTTATCTTCAGGGCAGATGTTTTTATTTTATTCGGCTTATAATTCCTTACTAAATGTAGTATTTAATTTCGATGTACTCCGTCTTTGATATGATTTAAATAAAATTCCTCGTCATTATAAATATCACGAATACAAATCAAATAGTTTTCTGGTTGCAATTTTCTAATTTCGGCTATGCGTAAGGTATGCTTTACGCATCCGCGCGTTGAAAGAAATGTTTAATAAAGTAAACAAATAAATATTAGGCTTTTCTTTTTTGGTAAATTTTGATACCCTTTAGATCATAATTGCTCATTATTTATAAATTACGGTTTTCATATTTTTAATTTTATAATTTCTGCATGCCATCTTACCAGATTTAAACTGATGATCTATAATCCGGAAAAAAAGATAATCCGGAATCGCCGAAGTCCCGACGAGTCCGGATTAAAGACTTTTGACTGTAATACCTTTTTAACTAATTCCAGATCATCATATGTTTGATTTTTCAGCCCAACACAGATACATTTCCGAATCCAGTGCTAGTGTAGTTAGGTAGTGACTATTCTTAACATGTTTTAGAGTATTTTTATGGCAGTTTCAGCATTTTGTTACTGTTTGCATTATTTTCTTATTACAAATATATTCTATACATTATATTACTGTAAGTGTTTTGGGGGGGGCGCCAAAAAGATATTTTGCCCTGGGCGCCAGTTATGCTCGCTACGCCACTGCTGGCAGCAGCCATAATCGTAATACGCATACATTAATAAAGGTCTTGCAATATTAACACAAATAGCACTTTTCTATGCTAACTAAGATTTTTATTTTTAATTTTATGGTAAAAACTAATGAGAGAATACATTTCCATTTCCAAAAATAATGATTAAAAATTAGATTTATAAAACACTAGATTTTTTTGGGGGGGAATATTTAATTACCTAGTCTCTTTCCTATAATGAATATTTTTTTTTTTTTTTGAGAAATAAAATAGTTTGAAAATTAATATACGTATTCTTTTAATTGTGAGATATCATTTTAAAATGTATTTGAATATTAATGACATTGAAAACAAAATCGTCTACACTGCAATTAGAAATTCGTAAAATAAATTCTTAACCTGTAACTGAAAAAACAAAAATATATTAGAAGAGTTATTGCAGTGAATAAGTTTAAATATTGAATGTTTCTAAAGTAAAAAGTATTATTCAAAAAGTGATAAAATTCAAAATGAGAGAAAATTTGGGAGATCTTCAAATATGTTCTCTCAAATACAATGCAGTATAGAAAACAGGCTCTTTCAGATTTGTAACAGAACTTTATTAATTTTACAGACCATTTGTTAATTCATAGACTATTGAAGTATTAATCTGATATACTGTGTATAATAGCCAACTGGAAAAAAAAATATGTCTGTGAAAGATCAGAAAACTTTAACTTTGTATTTAAATCTATGAAAATTTGGCATTCAGACAACTAGATTGGGGTAATATTTGCTGATGGAAGATAATTTAACATCTTTGAAAATGGTGAACATTTGGCAAAGAAGACCCAAAGAAAAAATTCAAGAAATTCACTTACCTATTAATAACAGAATGTAGTGGAACAGGATTTAAAATATGATGTCCATGCTGCTCATTGGATCTATAATCTTAAATCTTTTAAAGATCTAATGAATAAGTGGAGACATACTGATATTTTTTAATGAAATTTGAAACAACCAATGTGAAATTTAATCTGCTTAAATAATTCCAAATTCTATCCTGTCAATGTTTCTAAACATATTTGCTATGAATTGTGATTTTTGGCTGTTGTTTGATTGTCCTTCAAAATTCAAAACACATCTTCTGTGTTTACAATTGAATTTTATTGAATATTATTTGCAAAAATGCGAAAGCAGAATTTGAAAATTTGAAACAAACTCGAAAACAAAGTATTTCTTTAAAACAATAACTAAAGTTAGAAATACAAAATGTGCAGAGAAAGTTTAGATTATTATAATATTATTTTTTTTTTTAAATCTTGCTGAATCCATACCATAACGATTAATTGGGTTTTAAAAGTGAATAGTAATCGAAATATGAGTAAATTCTTAGAATATGCTTTTCGACTTTTATTTGATAGAACAAAATAAGCGTCCACTCACTTATGTGACATGATTTCTCCTTTTAAAAAAAATTACTAATTTTATCATTATTACTTTATTCTTGCAAAAAATATTTAGTACAAAAAAACTTTATATTTTCAAGAAAACTATGTTTCATAGTTTAAGTTTGATGAATTTAAAATTTCTCTTATTTTGTTAAAAGCAAAAAGTGTCTGACCAACTTTTTAACATAATTTAATTAAGATCTGATTATTATAAAGCGCATATTGTTTCTGGTTTGGTTTCCAAACATCTGTTAATTCATTTCTTTATTTATTTATATTTTTTAAGTTAAAAAAATATTTATACAGCTTTTAAAAAAATATGCATCAAAGAACAAAGATTTCTGAAAAGTTATATTACAATGTATAATAATTTAATATATCACATTCAAAAGTTTGTCATTCTTATCTATATAAAATACTTTGTTTAGTAATCATTAAATGTATACAGAAATCAAAATGAAGCAGAAAAAAACTAATACTTACGTATTTTATAGCCTGTTTTCGAAGATTCCACTGATTCCAGTTATATGTGTAGTCAATATTTGTTTCTGTTGGGTGAAGAATTGTTTGAACTGAACAATCAGATATAAAAATTGGCCTTACTTGAAGAAATTTGATATTGTTCTAAAACAGATTAATTAAATATTAATGCATATTTTTCTGAAATTGACTAAAAATATTTATATTTCCTTTTAAAAAATGCATTATAATTGCATGTATTGTACATACAATTACATTGCAAATACATATAAATTACATTAAAAAAATTCTAAAAAAAGATTATCTTATATACATAAACTATTTATTTACTTACATACTGGAAATAATTAGTTCAGGATAATATTAAAAATAATAATTTTGTAAATTGCCATACATAAATTAGCACACTTATTTCGCAAATGTTATAAAATAATTACTCATAAAACTATGAAATCAGAAATATTTTGTTACCGTATTTACATGTTGAAAATATTTTGTTACCGTATTTGCCGGCGCATAAGATGCACTTTTTTCTTTGAAAATAGGTCTGAAAAACGGAATGCGTCTTATACACCAATACTGCATCATATACATCATCTGTGAATGGGTCAGTTCCATGAGATACTGTGAAAATAGAGAAAATGGTTAAATCATTTAAGAAGTGTGACATTAGTAATTCACTGGATGATACAGAGGACAATTTGTTGTATGAGGACTCAGATGCTGATTTAGAAGAGGTTTCTTCATTTAGCTCTGGAGATGAGTGTGTGGGTTTGGACGAAGGAGATTAAAAGGTGTTCTTTCCCAGATAAATCGGGTATTTGCAGAAAGTATTACTTTGCATTTGTATTACTTTATATTTAAAACATTGTAAATTCATTATAATGATCAGTATTAAAGTTTTATCCTTCAAAAATGAGCACAAAAAAAAAAAAAAAAAAAGGTGCGTTTTATAGGCCGATGCGCCTTATACGCCGGCAAATACAGTAATTAAAATACTTATAAAGTAAAACACTACCTTCATATTTAATCAGTAGTACAGTGTGTTGAGTAATTACAATAAATTTGTGCATTAATTCATCTTTTAATTTTCTCTTTATAAAAGATTAAAAAAAAAGGCCAGATTTATTTTCTGAAAAAGTTTCAGCTTAAAGATAGTGACTAAGCTATAAAATGGCACCTCAGAACAATCAATAAATTTATTCACCAGCCGATTAGTTGGTAGAACTCTTATATTCTGGTGTGTCTTTTCCTGCTTCCCAATCAGTTGGTATTTTATTTTCTTTCAGTCACTAGTTGGTAAGCTGGATATAGCTATACAATTCATACTGCTAAACAGATGAAGACAAACTATGTGTGGTTTGTAAAACCTGTTATTTGTGCTTGTCGTTAGATCTGTATTACATCAATACCAATCATTTCAATCTATGCCCCTCCCCCCCCCCAAAAAAAAACTTGTATTGTTTTCATGTGAAAATTCATCTTATTAAATTAAAGTTGTAAACAAAATTATTATTGTGATTTTAATTAAGAGATTACACTGCAAGCCATGCCTTTAGCAAGGGCCCCCAAAAAAGTCACAGAAGAAGGATGTGTTCTTCATGATGTAAGTTATGCACTTTTGTAATGGTGTGCACAATTAAATTGCTTGTTTTATTTGTAAGAAGTGAATATCAGTTTCAAAAGAATACAATTTAATGTTGCCATTGCAAAATGAATCATAAAGAAAAATTTGAAATGTTAGAAAGGTAATCTGAGGGAAGAAAATTTACTCTTTTGAAAGTCTTGCTTACGGCAACAAAATGTTCTTATGGAATCAAATAAATCCAGTGAAGCAATATTTCATGGAAATTTTGCTGTTGTGCACATCATTGCAAAAATATCAAAACCATCCATTAGCAGTGAATTTATTAAAGATTAAATTATTATTGATTAAATATGCTGAATTTTTTGGTTCTGACAAACAATAACTATTTAAAAATATTAGTTTGTCAACCAACACAGTAGCATAACATTTTAACAAAATCACTTGTGATTTATGATGTCATTTAAATTGTAGATTTTGCGGCATTCTCAGAAGATAGTTTTCAGTAATTTTTCTCTAAGGCTACAAACATTATCAAACTTAAAAAGCTATCAAGTGTCAAGCTGCAGCAAAAAATAGAGAAATGTATTATTATTTACATACAATCATGTTTATTTTTTCCTTCACATGGCAATAAAAAATTTAATACATTAAGGAAAGAGAATAGGTTGTTGTTATTTGTTCTTAAGTCTTGTACCACTGGAGAAGTTTTCCCTGAAAATTCATAAGTTTTCATTATTAGTTCAGTTAATGTTAAAAGTAAGTTATAGTATATACAAATAGATATGCATTACATGATATGATTTTAATATTGCTTGATATCTAAATTCCTCATCCCTTTTAAAATTTTCTTTTGCATTAAAATATATAGTTAAGTATGATAACAATAGATTTCTTATCTGTTGGAGCACTTTTCTTGGTTTAGCATGGGGTTTAGATAAATTTATCTGAATTCTTAATGCCTCGGCAAGATTCCAAGTACAAAAAGACACATATTAATCAGAATAAAGGCTGATTAATTTAAAAAGATGTTATATGAAACACTTGACTAAAATTTAGTCATTATTTTCCTAATTTTTAAATATTCATTTATAATATCTCTGGAATAATACTGGCATTTACAATTATTAAAATTAAAAAAAATAGCATATGATGAACATATAAATGCATAATGATAATATAGGTACAGAAACACTTAGCTTTCTGTGGATTTGGATAATATTTAAAAGTCAAATATTATATGCAATTTTAAAATGTATGTTTATGACGTTTAATTGAGATATTCCTTTTGCTAAGAGTATACATTCTCAAGATGATAAAACCACGCATCTTGATTTAATTTAGGTCTTACCCCTCCCAATTTGCACTCTTTAACCAGAAAATAAGAATTAAAATTATTCTGCTGTCTATTACTTTACACTATAATAAACTGAATTTTATTTAAGGCTAAATACTGAAATTACGAAATTGAACCATCCTTTCAGCACAAAATAGCACTCATTAAATTTTCTGCAGAGAGAAAAAAAATTGATGCTCATAACAATTAAATTTCAGAGATGAACATGTTCAAAAATGTTTTTATGGAAATTTTGACAGTACAATGTTATTTCTTTATTCAAGAACTTTCCCGTAAAATTCAACTTTGACATGCTGAAAATCTACATTATAGGTGCATCACACTTGCTTTAATAACATAAAAAAATATTATAGTGTTACAATTTAATGTTCAAAAGCATGCATGTTATTTGCATAACATTTTTAATATTCTGGTTATCATATTAAGGAAAAAGCACGAATTACTCAAAAAGTTACCTGTAGAATTTAATGAAACTGACCCACTGTATACAACACATAGGAAGACATAAAATAACATGAAAAGAAATTACCAGACAATTATGGTGTTAAAGTAATAAGCATATATAGAAAATGAACAAATTAGATGTGTTAAAGTGTAGGAAAATTACCTTCAATATAGAGTATTATCTCCCCAAGAAGCAATACAGCACATACAGCGATGTGTGATGCTGTCAATTACACGGTTTATTAGTTTCATAAGAAGTGAGAGTCATTGGTCTTGAAAAGTAGTAGCAAGCATGGCAAGGGTCTGAAGAGGAGGACTGAGAACAGCTATAAGTCTTCAGAAAGCATCACAAATATGTTTTGTAAGATTCAAGTCCCAGTGATTGAGCTGGCTACTCTATGTGCTTGATTATTTGCTGCTGAAGATGATCATCCACCATTTCAGCCCTGTGTGGTCTAGTGTTATCATCCTGTAGCAGGAAATTGTCACTTATGCCACGGGCATAAGGCCATTTATGGTTCCATGTGGAAAAACATGAAGATCTGTGTGTCCACCCAAAGAGAAATGACCCCAAACACAGATGCTGCCTCCTACGTATGCATCTCTTTCACAGATGTTTGATCGATGATAATGTATTCCAGTTCTCAATTAAACATCCATTTCAAATCAAATAACACTTACTATTTCTTTGGAGGCTAAACCTGCACTCATCCGTACAAAGAACAGGCTCCCATTGATCAGCCATTCAGTGGACATGCTGACGTGCCCACCTTAAACATTCCCTTCTATGGCATGACATAAGCAGCACGCAAATGGCTGATCACCTCGCGTAAAGACCTCCTTCATGAAGCCCTCTATGCATGGTTGATATTGATACCAACCTTCCAATGGCTGCTACAAGGGAGGATCTGAGCTGAGTCAGAGTTGTGGTTCCATTCCTTTGTGCACAACAAATATCAGTCATCATTGTGCATCGTTGGCCGTCCTTGGCTGAACCTGCTGGATGCGAATCTGTGCCAAAGTCTATGAACCACAGATGGACTCACATTTTGCTATTGTTTTGCTATCTGTCTAACTTTAACCTCCCTCTAGTCTCCCAATAGCTCCCCAATTATCCGGGAAAATGATATCTGGAAGTCATTGTTGCTATCACAGATTTCTTATCTCAGTATTACAGCGAAATCTGTAGGCTTGGCTCTCAAACATGCAATTTTATGCTCCTCGCAGATGACATTCTGACTGCAGTGCTACTAATTTGCATACTGCAGATTTACTCAGCAACTCTTATTTGGCAACATATTCATATTTTTATGGATTGGTTTATTTTTTAATGCATTATCGGTATTTTTGTGATTTTTCCTTAATTTTTTTAAAGCAGTGCATATAATTTTCAATGTATATTAATTTCCATTATTTAAGTTCTTTATTGCACATGAAAAACTTACATTGCTGAAATTAACATATACTGAACTAAAACTAAATATTATTATGAGAAGCCTAATATTTAGAAATAAAAAACCACTTACTATAATTGGAAGCTGAAATAATGCCTCCATTCTTAAAGTTATAATAAATTCTGGCATAATCATCATATAATTTCTTGTTGCTGCTATGCATTCATTTGGTTTCACTTTAAAACTTTCCATTGCCTCTTCGCTTGAAAATCCATAGCATAAACCTTTATACATAACAATTCCTAAGTATCTCTTTGAAGGTAAAAGCACTCCTGTAGTACAAAACCAAGCGCAATACCCCTTAAATAAAATAAGAAGAAATTAAATTATGTTATTAGAGCAAATATGCATAATACATACACACACACATAAAACAAAACAAAACAAACAAACAAAAAAAAAAAAAAAAAAAACCTTTGCAATGCTTTAAGCAACTTTTATAAAATTAATAGTCTACTACTCACTTAAAATCAATGATACAAACTGAAACTGCCATTCCATTTATTAGCGTTTACTGTCTAATGAAAACAATGTTCACTTCACTCCGTGAATATTAATACTGCATACCAGAATGATTTAATCATTTACTCGGGAGTGAGGAATTGACCAAATTTTGGTTGTTAGCATACTGAGAACCAAATAATTTTCTATCCAGCACAATGTTGAGTAGAATTTTCTTATTTCTGCATAATGAACATCATACTGCATACAAACAGAAAACTTAAATTTTCAACTTAAAAAGGCATCTTTGCATAACATTTAAGTTGGTGTTTCCTAAATATCGGTTATGAGCTCTCAGGAGGGGGGGTGAAGACACATATCATGAATCGAAAACTAATTCTCATAACATTATAATAAAGCAATTACGTAATACTTTAATCTAATTAAAAGCACCATTAAATTGATTTCTGCTTTGAACAGATACCAGTTAAAACTGAACTTATAACCTGAAAGTTTGGAACAGTTGAATATGCTCTATCTCTAGTGTGTAGGGTTTATATTTATTTTAACTAACATTTATTTTAAGTTTAAACTATCTTTCCTGTCAAGCCTTACTTTCCCCTGGAACTGCCAATGCCAGAATATGTAAATTTTAGTAGAACGCGCAAGCATTCAAATTATCAGCGGAAGTATTCTGATTTAAATAGAAGGAAACGAGTTCGGTGTGTGATATTCTTACTTAGCGAGCGCGGAGGTAGTTAGCGAGAATTGAAGAACCCCGCGTTGCGGCCTATGTGCTTGGCGGGAAGTAGTGTTAATCGTTCCAGTGAGCTTCAAGTCTGCTGAATTAGCAGCGGTATTGTAAAACGCGGTGAGTTAGTTATTTTAGAGAGCCCTCGTAGTTAGAATCTTGTCTTTACTTTCTTTTCAGGTTATTATTTTTATTTGACTGCCGAGTTGGCACCGTTCTGTAAGCGTCAAGAGAACGCAATTGTAATTTATTACGTTGAATAAAAAGGGACTTAAACCCTTTACAAGACTCTGTTTTTTATACAAGTTTTCACAGTCACCTCTTGGTTGCGTGCAAGTTGGAGGCGCGCAACGTTATATTGGCGCCCGAACACTTATCGAACTGAAATGGCCGAAAACTGGATGGAAGCCGCTGGACAACACCAAGAAATGACAACGCAGTTAGAAGGATTTGGATACCTGGTCCAGACTTTGAGAGCATCAATCAAGCCAAACGTCTATTTCGACGGAAAAAATTCGGTGTCCGTATTTTTAGAAGGTCTAGAAAACCACTTTCAGCTCTACCCTGTGCCTGAAAGACAAAAAGTTGCCATCGCCACATCAGCACTAAGAGGACAGGCCGCGCTATGGTGGAAAAATATAGGCAAATTTCTTACTAGGTGAATTTGGAAGCCCGACATATACATTTGAAAATTTCAAAAAATCGTTAGTAAAGGCCTTCCCCATAGTGAAAGATCGCGCACGGCTGGAAGCCGAACTATATAGTTTCTATCAACGGGATACAGCAGAATTGACGGACTTTATTTTACGAAAAATCAAGCTAACGGATATGCTGTATGGAAAAAAAAAAACCCGATGCGGAGATTATTGAAATAATATTACCAAGATTGTTACCCGCTGTCCAAGACTACTTTGAAATTAGAAACCCAAGCACATTGCAGGAACTTTTCGAATTGGCGGTGAAGTTTCAAAATCGCAGAATAGCGGAAAAAGCGAGAGGGGAAACATATTCTCAAAGTACCCGAAGGAAGGAGGAAACCAGAAATGGAAATCGCTCATATGGGGGAAAGAACTATCAAGCTAACGCATCGAAACTCGAAGGTCAAGGCCCAAAAAGAAAATTTGAAAATAAGCATCCGCGTACCCAGAAGACACAGATTGAAAGGAAAGCTTTAAACGACTAGAGGGGCCTGTGAAAGGGAGGGTCCAGACCCCGGAAGTTTTAAAAAAACCCTCAAATAGACATTTAAATACGGTCATCGTAAAAAACTCACAGCTACCAATTATACAAGTCCTGGTTGGCGATGTACCAGTAGAAGCCCTCATCGATACAGGAGCAGAAGGAAATTTTATGAGTGAAAAGTTCTTCAAAAAGAATTTTTATAGGATACGACTATTTAAAACCAGAAATACGGAAATTATAGCGGCGCAAGGAAAAACATGTCACTGCATCGGGAAATTATCATTAAACTTACAGGTAAAAGAGGAAAATCTCAAAGTATTAATTTTTGTGGTGAAAGACCTCCAACACTCTCTTATTTTAGGTATGGACTTTTTAAGGGCCGCGAGGGCCAAATTAAATTTTCAAGATAGTTCCGTGGTGCTGGAGATGGACCAGAGGGTGGTGGAACCTGTGGAGACACCTGAATTGGACCTTAGCCATTTGAATGACCATGAAAGTAAAGCAATACAGCAAGTGGTGAGTAATTTTTCTCATTTGTTTTCAGAAAAAAACCTGGAAACTGTCAAATAGTAACTCACAAGATTCAATTAAATGCCGAAAAACCTTGTAGGACTAAACCGTATACCGCTATGATAAACAAAAAGACCTAATCATCGAAGAACATATTCAGGAGATGTTAAAGAATAAAATAATAACGCCCATAAATAGTGAGTACGCGAGTCCAGTCGTACTATGTAGGAAAAAGAACGAGTTTCCTCCTTCGGATAAAAGGGCTTGGAGGTTTGCTATCGATTACAGAAAACTAAATAGTATTACTAAATTTCCAGTTTACCCTTTGCCGGTTATAGACGAGATCATTAGACAGATCAAATCGACAAGATATATGTCTACTTTGGACTTAACGTCTGGCTACTATCAAATAGCTATGAGACCCGAAGAAGATATACATAAAACCGCGTTTATAACAAAATCGGGCACTTATGCATTTTTACGCATGCCCTTTGGGTTGTGTGTGGGGCCCCATCAACATTCCAGAGAGCTATGGACATTGTTCTAAAGCCTGTCCTAGGAAAATCAACTTTAATTTATCTAGATGATATAATTATAACGAGTAGTAGTACGTTGGAACAACACATTAATGACCTCGAACAAGTTTTTTTTAAATTATTAAAAGAGGCCGGTCTTACAATTAACGCCTCAAAATGCAAGTTCGCAACTAAAGAACTTAAATATCTCGGTTATAAAATTTCGCAAAAGGGTATAGAAACGCAAGATTCAAAAATAAAAGCTATTAAGAATTTCCCACCGCCCAACACCGCCAAGAAACTTTCTTCTTTCCTTGGATTATGTTCTTACTATCGATCTTTCATAAAAGATTTCGCTAATATTGTTGAACCACTCTTAGTAATCAAAAGAAAAAAGAGTAAATTTACGTGGACAGCGGAAGCTAACACAGCTTTTGAAAGATTAAAAGAAGCGCTTATTAATGCCCCTGTTTTAAAATTCCCTGAGGGGGACGAAAACCTGGAAATTGCAGCAGATGCGTCAGACTATGCGGTGGGTGCGGTTCTTATGCAAAATAACCATCCGCTGGCATTTTTTAGTAAAACATTGAATCAGACACAAAGGAATTATACAGCTACAGAAAGAGAAACATTAGCCGTATTAATGGCTGTACACAAATTTCGAGTTTATTTCGGCAAATCGCCAGTAACAGTCTTTTCGGATCATGCGGCTGTTGGTAGACTTTACTCGGGAAAAAACCTAACGCCCAGGTTAATAAGATGGGCTTTAAAACTCCAAGAATATAATATCACAATAAAATATAAACCGGGTAAGGAAAACAATGTAGCTGACGCACTTTCTCGTATAAAACTGGACGATGAAGGAAATGAACTTAAATGCGCTGTGTTGACTTCAAAAATTTTAGATTCTAGAGATACGGTTATTACTGAACTGAAAGCTGATCCTGAATTTGGAAATATCTATGCTTATTTGAAAGACCCCGAAAGCTTTGAGCACACAGATATCGATGCGATAAGAAATAGAGCAAAAAACTATGAAATAATAGATAATTTATTATTCTATACGAAAACAACAAACGAAAATCTTGAGTATAAGCCAGTCATCCCAGCCTCGCTTCGATTAAGCATTTTGAAGGAGTTGCACGAAAAAAAAAACAGCGGGCCACCTAGGGGTCAGAAAGACTATAAAAAGGGTACGCGAGGCGGTATATTTCCCGCAATTATACAAAATAGTAACGGCGTATGTCAGGTCCTGCAATCAATGTCAGTTAATAAATGATATTAATTACAGCCCGGCCGGGTACTTAAATAGCATTCGCGCTACATTTCCGAATGAAATTTTAGGCATAGATCTCCTTGGTCCCTTCCCCCAGAGCGAGTTAAATAAAAATCGTTTTCTTTTAGTAATAGTAGATCATTTTTCAAAATGGATAGAAATTGTTCCACTTAAACGCGCGTCAGCCAAAACAGTCGCAGATGCATTCTTACACAGATACATTTTAAAATACGGTGCACCGATAAAAGTCATTAGCGATAACGGAAAACAATTCATTAGTCAAATATTTGAAAACATATGCAATGGACTTGGCATACGCCATATCAAAATGGTTCCGTATAGACCACAGGCTAACATAGCAGAAAGAGTTAATAAAAACATAGTAAAAATAATTCGCAGTTACGTGAGCACACATCACAAGCGCTGGGATGGCTACATAAATGAATTAGCTTATGCTTTAAGAACGGCACATCATGATACTACGGGAAAAACTCCAGCAGAATTATTTTTAGGCAGAAAGTTAATTACGCCTTTAGATAAATTATTCTTTGTGCAACAAAGAGAGCAGGAGTTTAAACAAAAAGATGTGCAAAAGCTAATTGATCAGGCGCTTAAAACCTCGGAT